TGTGAAATCCATGCGGGCCAGATGTGGGCCGGATCTGGGCCGAAACTGTCTGCTGTCTGGGTTTAGATTAAAAGTTTTTTTTAATTTAAAGTCCTGTAATAAATTAAATTAAAGTCCTGTAATAAGCTTTATTATTATTATTATTGTTGTTGTTATTAGTATTGATTGACAGCCCTAGTACTTATCCTTTAATATTTAAAAAGACCCAAAGCAGGAACTGAACACCCCTCCCCCTTGAGAATGGAGATCTTTTAAAGCAGCTTTTGAGGAAACACTTACACAGAAACACTTTCCCTGTCAGACACCTGGCTGTTCGGTACATTGTGAGGTATGTTCTTACAACTTTAGTTTATATTTTAGCATTACTTACAATTAATCTAGATAAGTTATTTATTACATCATGGGAATCTTGTTATGAATATTAGGTTATAAATATAAACATATGAAAGATAAATGTGTTGAAGCGCAAAATGGTAGATTGGAATGCCAAGGTCTTGCATTTGATTGTCAAGAAATATACATGCTGATCAAATATACCTTACAATTGCTGTTAGTTACTTCAAATAATAGCAACTTTTCAATCAATACATATAAATGAGCTGACTTTATCTGAAATAGCTGCTTTCTTCTCTGCTGTTCTACTCAAAAGATTGTAAAAGACATAAGGTGTTAAAATTACATTTTTGTAGCTTTAAGGAAAAAAAATAAAAATGAAACCTGCTTAATTAAAATACATTTATTGGAATGCAAGGCAACTTACGGTAAGACAAACTAAAACGTGACTGTGGTCATAAACACACTGTTAAATTTATATATTTGTCTGAGCAGGGTCCTCAAATAAGCAGATGTGTTCTGGTCTTAGGTTCACTTCTCTATAGTTTAAGGAAGTGACTTTGATGCAGCTGAACAGAGGGACTGTGACTGACATTAGACACATTTGCATCCACTGGGTCATTTGATGTGAACTTCTGGTAAAACACTCTTTTAGCAATGCCAAAGCCATGGGTTCCATTTAGAGGGAGCATACATAATATATTGTTGAAAGCAGTGTCAGTTCAAATCATCTGAATGAATGGAAAAGTGGTGTTAGGATGCAGATACATGTGATACATACAATGTAAATATCAAATTATGTCACAAGCTGAAAGACACATAAATCTCATATGTAAAATATTTTGTTTTACACAACAGGAGTTGAGGGATGCAGCTGGTAATTTTTTTCCTGTTGATACTGACACACACATATGCAGATTACCCTGCATTAAAAGCTGTTCTGTCAGAAAAGGGTCTCAGAGATGGTAAGTTCTTCACATGCACATAAAAGTCACTGCAATGATCACATCTATATATCATATTTACACTAAGCTAGCCTGGTTGGCAATAATTTACACTCCAAACTCCACTCACCATTGTCTGGTTGAGGTGGACAAAAGTAAACTAGAGAGCAGAGTAATGCCCCCATTCACACTGCTAGTGAAACGCAGTGATAGCAAAATGATCCCATTCATTTTCAATGGGTCCCATTCATTTTGCGATTTCCAGCGACACAAGCAACAATGACCATTTCTGAAGCAATATGGACATGTCCAGTGACTCAACAAAGCTCACAGATGTTTAACTCTATGCAAATAAGCATTAACTTTTAGGAGAGACAACCAATGGGAGTGAAGTTAGTGGAGCGCACGTAATCCATCAGGTGCTTCTCAAACAGAAGGCTGCATCCTACAGAGGCTGCGTCCTTCCTAGTTCAGTCCTTCAGAGTCTTGTAGGCTAGAGTCCTCCTCGGCATGAAACGCTAGAATGAGACAGTCTAGTACAGGGCTGTCCAAACTCGGTCCTGGAGGGCCGGTGTCCTGAAGAGTTTAGCTCCAACCCCAATTAAACACACCTGAACCAGCTAATCAAGCTCTTACTAGGCATACTAGAAACTTGAAGGCAGGTGTGTTGAGGCAAGTTGGAGCTAAACTCTGCAGGACACCGGCCTTCCAGGACCGAGTTTGGACAGCCCTGGTCTAGTAAGTGCGCGTGGCTACGTCACATATGTGACCCTCACCGTCCGATTGAGATGGCCTTCAGCGACGTTTGATGACGTGGCAGCCGAGATATGCAGCCTTCCGTTTGAGAAGCACCCATCAGATACTCTAATGCAGGCGTGTCTGGTCATGTTCCTGGAGATCTACCTACCTGCAAAATTCAGTTCCAACCCTGATCAAGCACACCTGTCTGTAATTATTGAAGCTCCTGAAGATCTAAATTAGTTACAGGATTGGGCACCCCTGAGTTGTATTCCAGAAAGCAAGGTTAACTTACCGTCACATATACCCTGAACTCTCGGCTGGTTAACCCAAACCTGGCTTACTTGAGGTATGCTGGTTCCAAAAACGTGTCCGGGAGTAAGTTCAGTCAACTCAGAGTATGTTCACGGTTAACACACAAAACATTCTCAATAGAGGGACAAATCGACAAGTCATTATGGAAACGGACGTTAAGAAAAAGCGCACCATGAAGCCTCTCTGCGTCACTGAGAATAAGAATTACATTGTTTGTTTGATGCCAATTATATAGTAAGAAATATCCCCGTTTTCTTATTGCCAGTGATGAATTACCTTGTATGAATAAACTTGTGTATATTTGATATGTGATGATGTCAAAAATGTGGTGTTGTAGATGTTTATGTTTTTATGTGTTCAGTGTCTCAAATGATGGCTGTTTGGATACAAAACAAACTGAAGAGTACTGAAATCCCAGAGGTCCGGGGTGGGGTGGACATTGGGATCGGCACTGTAGAATATGTCATCTCGAAGTCAGTACACAGTACACTGACAAACAATTAAACCAAATGAACAAATGCATCACATGTGATGAACAGTTTACTTCATAAACTGTGTGCATGTCTCCAGCATGCAGGTTGTGCAGTGCAGCATGTCAGGCCCATCAATGGAATTTGTAAATGGAATAGGTGTATCTGTGGAAGTTAGCCAACTCTCATTAGCTATCACAGGCAGCTGGGCAACACAGTTTGGTATCATGTAAGTAAACCAGTGAATCATTGGAATGAGAATGAAATCATTTGCAATCATATCAGTTTCACTTCTCAGGTGGTCTTGGAAGCAAATAACATGTTCTATCAGTGGTGGACATTAACAAATTAAGTTTTACATTAAGAGTATTTTTACTTTGAGAACATTCCAAAATACTTTTTACTCAACTACATTTCTTAAAAACATGTAATTTCATATCATTTTGAACTAGACAAATCATGGCCCACTCTGAGATATGATATCTGTAAACTTGAAGCGAGCAACAGTTCTATGGTCAGAAACACCTTGCTGATGAACAGAGAATTGTCAAACTAGATTAAACTGATAGAAAGGATACAGTCACTTAGATATCCCCTTTTTACAGTTGTGGTGAACAGAATAGCATCTCAGAATCCCGCCTTGATAAATATCAATTTCTGCTGAGGCACACAAATGTGACCCTGCCTGTGAAAACCCAGCTAAAGTCATTTTTTTGTGCACCATCCGCATTAATCCATTGATCCAACCTGCCTTGTGTCAACAGTCAGCATTGATAATAATAATAAAAAATGTATAGGCAGAGAGCTGTCATAAATTAATTAAAAATACTGACTCTCTTGAATATCTGCTTATTAGTCATTGCTAATGAAATAAATAAAAGATATGGTGCTGTAGAACCCCAGAGTGTATTAAACATTGATGCTTTAATCGAAGCTGTGCAAAGGTAAAGCAATAAGCAGAATTCCACAAGTAGCCCCAAATCCACACTCCAGAGCCATGTGGGTAGACCCGATCCTCCCTATACGCAAAATAGGACCCCCGAAACACCAGGGGCCCCCTTGCTCTCAAAGATTATTTAATTTTAGTTTTGTTTTTTAATTTGGCCAGCGGTTATGAAAACATGAATGATCATTTATTTGAATGATAAATGATATAATGATAAAAATCTGTCAAATCATTTAATGTGAATGTCGTACAGTCTTGCTCGAGACTAAAAAAACGAGTTGAAAGACAACCGAGCCGCGGGAGAGACACTGTTTCTCAAGCGCTTTCCGCGAGCGCGATTCAAGACAGAGTGAAACAAAATGTGTTTCATTCATTCGTTCGTAACCACTCATACCCCACTCCACCACCGACACAGTTTTGCATAGGGCCCCCAGGAGTCTAGGATCGGCACTGCATAATAACGACTTTATTCAACAATTCTTCTCTTCCGGGTCATTCTCTGCCACCATTCACGAGAGTACCACAATGCATGCGTGTGATGCTGATGACACAGGAGCCGGAACAAGCAGTGGAACACACACGTATGTGTCATAGTACTCTCGTGAATGGTGGTGGAGACTGACTTGGAAGAGAAGAAATAATTGAATAAAGTTGTTATTTTTGTTTTCTTTTCACACAAAACATTCTCGTAGCTTCATAAAATTAAGAGTGAACCACTGATGTCACATGGACTATTTTAAGGATGTCCTTACTACGTTTCTCGGTCTTGAACGTGGTAGTTCCTTTGCTGTCTATGCAGGGTCAGAAAGCTCTCGGATTTCATCAGAAATATCTTAATTTGTGTTCCGAAGATGAACAAAGTTCTTGCAGGTTTGGAATTGCATTTTGTGGAATTCCTGGAATCACTCTTCACTTAGAAACACACAGACTTGATTATAATTTTTCTATGCTTGTTAATTATGGTTTTGCTGTAATTTTATGTTTCTCATGCCTATAAATCAACAAATTAACCATTATGCTTTCACCATCTGCTATTCATGCCATTATGCCTGGCAAGTTAAGAATCATGAAGTATGTCGTGTCTATGTGCGGGATTTTACATTTTAGAAATATGCATTATATATCAATAAGATGTGTTAATAAGACATTTGCAACATCAAGGAGTTATGTTGTTCTTTGAGTATGTAAAATGATTGTCTTTTGTTCTATGATTGCAGCCATGATGGTGGCTCAGTTGATCTGGCTGTGTACAATATCAAAATCAAAACCCTCCTGGGGTTAGGGGATGAAGCTGGCCGACTCTCCATCACTACCATTTCCTGTAGTGATGACGTAGGAGGTGTGCACATTCAGTTCCACGGAGGTGCTAGGTAAGACCAGTTTTAAAACAAACTTTGGTTAACAAAACATAAAAGACTTAAGATTTTAAGTGCTACCTAAAGATATGCACAACAACTGTGAATATCTGTCATGACTTAAAGGGGTCATATGATGCTGCTAAAAAGAACATTATTTTGTGTATTTGGTGTAATGAAATGTGTTTATGCGGTTTAAGGTTCAAAAACCACATTATTTTCCACATACTGTACATTATTGTTTCTCCTCTATGCCCCGCCATTCTGAAACGTGTCGATTTTTACAAAGCTCATCGGTCTGAAAAAGCGAGGTGTGCTGTGATTGGCCAGCTATCCAGTGCATTTTGTGATTGGCCGAATACCTCAAGCGTGTGACGGAAATGTAACGCCCCTCACCATACTGTGATGATGCCCTTTCAGGCCAGAGCGATGATTCAAAAACATGAAAACCCATTATAAATGAGGCATTCGTTGCATCCAGTGGGGACATAATTATGGATTATAATGACTTATACGGTCTTTTTATGCGTTGTGTTGCATCGCGCTGCGTAAACATAAAACCATGTCTGCATTTGTGATCGGAGAAACTACAAACAACAAGCCCTACTCTACACTGCCCAAAAAACTCGCTTTAAATATATAAAATATAAAAACTCTTTAAATATAAAAAAAAACGTACTTACAGTCTTTGAGTCAGAACAGACAGCATTGTAGTCTACTCTACCAGGATCAGGAAACAGTCCTCCATAAAATGTGCTGCACACATCTGAATATTTGGGTTGAAGTGTTCTGGAACAGTGTTGTAAATACAACTGAACCACTGATTTCTAGTCGTGTCCATTTTTGGAAGGCCAAACAAAGTAGTTTCGCTTTCACAACGAAGCACTGCTTCACACACGGTGGCCTAGAGTGAGCAGAGGCCGGGGGATAAAGTGAAGAACGGCCGGTGGGCTGAGTGAGCAGAGGCGGCGGGCTTGAGAACAGCGCGGCCGGCAGATTCGACGAAGGAGCGTCCGGAGGGCTTGCGGCAACCACATGTGACGACCCCAGGCTGGACTCCGCTTCGTCCACGGTGAAAGCCGATCCGGCGATCCACAGCGCAAAGTTGTTGTATTTCCTCAGCAACCAGCACGGATTAGCTCCAGGCATGACGAAGCAGATATCGTCCTCTTTTGGAAGGCCAAACAAAGTAGTTTCGCTTTCACAATGAATCACACAGCGCCTTCGTGACATGGCAGCGGCAACAACAATACTACAGCGAGAATCAAAGTTATGCCTTCATTCTTTGCGTGAACATTTGGGCGGCGTTATGCAAATCTTCCCACATCGTGACATAGACATGTGGGGGCGTGTTAGAACGAGCCGCTTTAGGTAGGTGTGGCTAACTCTTAACTTTTATAAAGAATATCTCTTTGGATTTGAGACTTTAGTCTTTGCAACTTTACAGATCTTCTTTATGCACCAAGAGCTTGTAACACTCCAAAGAGAAAGGAAAAATTGAAATCGCATCATATGACCCCTTTAATTGTGACTGCCACTAATGAAGCTGTTAATCATAGTCATAGTCGCCAATTTCCTACATAAAAGCACAAGATATTCCCCATTCATTTTAATGGATCAAAAAATTGATAGGGAACCTCTATAATTTGTGGGTCTTACATATTTCCTCTGTGGATTATAATACATTCAATGCATCATTAGAATTTGTCTTTGCATTTTGATTAAAAAGGAAACTCCAAAATGGAAACTCGACACCATCATCTCATCCATTAGTAGCAGTGGTGCTACTTCTTCACATTATCAGTCGTCTACATCTGTCTCTGGTTAGCTGCATTATTTAAGGCGACCATTATTTTAGAATTTATCATCTTGAGCTTCCGGTATGCAGTTGAGTGAGTGAGGCGCGTCCGGGAGCTGCTCCGTAAATTGTTTTTTTTTAATAGTTAATGGGAACGTTTCGTATTTTTAATGATCTAGGACGATGCCTACAACACTAAGTAACACTTTAATGCTAGTTGGAGCTTGTTTTGATCACTACTATGACTAAACCCAGGCGCGTTTCCCCTGTTCTTGATGAAGCTGACGACGCCGGCAACATGGCCGCAATTGCTTCGGAGTTAACACCAGGGGCCTCATTTATAAAATGTGCGTACGCACAGATTTGATCTTAGAGTGTGCGTACGCTAAAATCCACGGCAACATTCATATTTATAAAAATGGTCTTTGAGGTGGAAAAGCACTTACCGCCACGTCAGGGTCTGAGCAGGCGTACGCACTTTTCCTTGTGGCAAAGTCGGAGTACTGCAGCTATTTGAACATCTAAGCTGCAATAATAATAAGATCATAATAATAATAGATCATGTTAATGATCATGTTTCATCGTGCTTTTATTGAATCAGTTTTGTCTCTTTCTCTGGTCGTATGGTTTGGTCAAACATCTTTAAAAGCGAGAAATTCTTTAAACCAGATAGTTAAATGGTCTAGTCGATTGGTGGGTGAGTCACAGTTGGATCCAACATCGTTGTATACCAGACAGTTGCAACGAATGTCTACTTCTATTTTAAATGATGACTCCCACCCTTTGCACAGTGAGTTTCAGCTTCTTCCCTCTGGGCGGAGGTTTTTAATCCCAAGGTGTAAAACAAAGCAATATAAAAACAGCTTTGTTCCCGCTGTTTTAACTGTGTTAAATAAGCTGTAGGATGGGGGAGTCTTGGAGAATTTATATCATGTATCTTGTATCATATTTTTGTTATCTGTTGTGTTATATTTTTAAATGTGTTTTTTGAATTTGTGTTATGGATGGTTGTCACTGTCATTTTACTGCAAGACAAATTTACCATATCATCTGCTGCTTTGCTTCTGTGAAAATGAATAGAGACATCAGTCCAATTTTTCTTTCAATAGTTTTTTAAAGTTTTGCAAGAATTTTGTGATATTAAACTTATTAGTTGTCATAGCAAGTGATTTTAAAAGTAGGATGGCTCACTTTTTATAAAATGACTGAAAATTTCACTTGAATTCGTAGTTTATACTTACTTTTGGAAACCTAATTGTTTTATTATTATTATGGTTATGATTATTATTATTTCTGTTGTTTCTAAAAGTAGTAATTTTGAAAATAGTCAAAAGAAAAAATATATCCACACACACATTGTTTGTCCACAGAATAATTACACATTATTAAATAAAAAGCATCCCCGCACGAACCTCTCCGCTGTCACGGAAACGGGTGTGTGGAGGCAGGCAGGACGACGAGGACGACAAGTATTCCAATAATGACATTTATTGTAGACACAACAAGGCAGGTTCAGGTAGGTGAGACACACACTCGGGGTAACATTAACAATAACCGCCAATGCTCAGACAGACAGGAACTAATATGTGGTGGATAATTAGTGGCAGACAGGTGAGCACAATGAGGGTAATTAATGATTAGTACGGGCTAAACCAACACAAAGGGAAGAAACCACAACAAACAGTCCACAGGGGCGTTACATCCGCCAGCAGGACCTCAATTTCAGACTTTTTTTTTTCTTTGTGCTCATCATTCTCAAGCATAGAAATTCGGATTTTGGCGTGTGCTCTTTTATATGGTAATGATTTTCATGATCATTTGCGATTTATAAATGTCACATCTGGAAAAGAGGCGTACGCACGTGTTTTTGTGCGCACGTTCGTTTTCTCTGAATCGCACTTATGCACTTTTGAGAAATGATCTTAGAACAAATTTAGGACGGTTTATACGCAACATTTTATAAATGAGGCCCCTGGT